AGTGTCCCACAAGAGTGTCCCACAAGAGTGTCCTACAAGAGTGTCCCGCAAGAGTGTCCCAAATGAGTGTCCCACAGGAGTGTCCCACAAGAGTATCCCGCAACAGTGTCCCGCAAGAGTGTCTCACAAGAGTGGAGTGTCCCACAAGAGTGTCCCACAAGAGTGTCCCGCAAGAGTGTCCCAAATGAGTAGGAGTGTCCCACAAGACTGTCCCGCAACAGTGTCCCGCAAGAGTGTCTCACAAGAGTGTCCCTTAAGAGTGTCCCACAAGAGTGTCCCGCAACAGTGTCCCACAAGAGTGTCCTACAAGAGTGTCCCACAAGAGTTTCCTAGAAGAGTGTCCCACGAGAGTGTCCCACAAGAGTATCCCACAAGAGTGTCCCGCAGGAGTGTCCCACAAGAGTGTCCCACAAGAGTTTCCTACAAGAGTGTCCCACAAGAGTGTCCCACAAGAGTGCCCTACAAGAGTGTCCCACAAGAGTGTCCTACAAGAGTGTCCCACAAGAGTTTCCTACAAGAGTGTCCCACAAGAGTGTCCCACAAGAGCAAATGAGTGTCCCACAGGAGTGTCCCACAAGAGTGTCCCACAAGGGTGTCCCACAAGAGTTTCCTACTAGAGTGTCCCACAAGAGTGTCCTACAAGAGTGTCCCACAAGAGTGTCCCACAAGAGTGTCCCACAAGAGTTTCCTACAAGAGTGTCCCACAAGAGTGTCCCCCAAGAGTGTCCCGTAAGAGTGTCCCACAAGAGTTTCCTACAAGAGTGACCCACAAGAGTGTCCCACAAGAGTGTCCTACAAGAGTGTCATTTGGACACATGTAGCTTTTAGAACGTGTTTGCATTCGGGTTCGTGGGCTCCATCTTGTTAAAGCCGGTTTTCGACACACTACTATGCAGTCCTTGTGTTATCCTTCATTTGACGTCAGTATCAGTACCACACCTAAGCACCTACAGTTCAGTTTCAGTATTGTGGAGCCACACGCGAAGCCAATAGGAAGAGGACTGAACAGAGCGGGCATGCGTGGTGGAGAAAAGCTGTCCTTTTTGTGCTGCACGTTCTCTAAACCATTTGTTTCATGACCGCATTCTTTCTGGTCCTTGTATGCCACTCCACCGAATGGCAGCTGTCACCTCTGCGATGACTGTAACAATCCTGGCCCCCTACCCTGGCGTCACGGCGTGCACATCAGTTGGCCATCAGCGTTGACTTACGAGTTCTTCCGAAAGAGACGGTGTTTAGGTTGTACATTTCGGGCAGAAAGTCGGTGTTTAGAATCTGCAGAATTGTGATTAGTGATCATTGATCAGCAAAAACAAACTGATACCACACAAGACCTTGTCGGTTCCACCTCTCTTGCGTGGGCTTCAAGTCCTGTGTGGCAAAAAAGAAGAGCCTTAGGCCCTTGCTTAGGCCGTTGGGAACCCTTTTTTGCAGGGGAGTATGTGTGCTGAGTGCTTTGCAAAATACTCGCGGGACCCAGCATGTGCGCGTGGACACGCGGTGTCGGTGCTGGGAGCAGTCTTCAAGGCACATGACGGCCTCCAGGAACCTGCTCACCTGCTCATCTCTTTTGTCGCTGAAACCCGCAAACCCTTGTGCAGGAGCCTCCACCTGCAACGTTGCAAGCTTTGCCTTTGCCCTCACCTGACGGCGTGGATAATGCGCTCTCCACCAACTTTACAAATCTTGGCCGTGCTTACCTGACCTTGATGGCAGCATGGCCACCCAACCCGACCCGGCACAAGTCAGTCGCGAAGAGATCCTAGTGGCTGTCTAAAATGCCCAAGTAGCCCCCTGCGAACTCGGCATCGCGTGGCAATCACCATCTCGCAGCTGGGTGTCACACTTGATGCGGAGGAGGCAGTGGTGACCAACACGACGCCAGCTGACAAAGATCCCGTATCCGTCTCTTGCACCAGCAGCCTGTCAGAGGCCTTAGGTTGGAGGCCATCGTTAGTAGGTTGGAGCCCATCCCCATAGTAAGTAAGATAAGCATAGATAAGCATGCACCTGGAAGGCCAAGCCCAGCAGCATCACAAACAGCAGTTGAGTCGCGACATTTGCCGTCAACTGATGAGATCGCGCGTGCGTGTGTGTCTGTGTGTGTGTGTGATGAGCTTGACGAATTGGAGCGACTTCAAAGTTTGGGCAGTGGTTTTGCAGCATGCATGCACGTTTTCGGATGCACCAACAGTTTTAGTCAAGTCAATTGATGTTCCTCGGCAGATTGTGGACTTTTGGCCATGGTATGCACCTGCAAAATGTTTTATGACTATGTTTTGTTTTTTCGACCTAGTGATGCCGCGATGCCTATATAAATATATAGTCATTCATTAGAGGGGTGGGACGCCGGTTTGGTAGAGAGCCGTGTTCTTGCATGTGTCTCTACCTGTATGATTCAAAAGTACGAGTTGCTCTATTTCCTAAACAACGCTTCATGCTCAAGAGGTAGGTGAGCTATGTGCTGTCCTACCCTCCCCTCTACAAACTTCACCATGGGTCGCTGCCCCTTGCAGGTCAGATCGGAGTAGCACTCTTGATCACGGGGGATTGCTAGGAGTCACACCCCTGGAGTGAGTATTTAAAAGGTTGTGTGTTTTTCGTGCTTTGGATGCTTCGTTCTGTGCTTTGGACCCTGGTCCCTTGCCCTGGTGACCCTGTTCGCACCGGTTCTTGAAGGCCTTAGCTAAGCGTGACAGGATTAGCGGCCTTGCTCCGACGCCACAAGTGCGGTGCTTTTGCTTTTGGGGACCCTCTGTGTGTGGACCACCCGGCCTTGTTCTCTGTCCTTTTGACTTTGTTCGCACACTGTAAAGTGTTGCTCCTGCAAGCAGCTCCGGCTCCTGCTGCCGGACACCTGTGCAGCGGTCCAAGGTACGCCAAGCTTGCCATGTTCTGGTCCTAGAAGGCCCCATCCCTTCTGATAGCATTCCTGTTCAATAAAGTACTGTTTCGAAACGGTTGCTGCAAACCATTTGTTGCCGGAGACTGCGTTCCAACGCTGCCATCAT